ACGGGGATAAACTTGGGTCCTTGTGCTTACTTGGATCCTTGTGTTTACTAGGCAGCAGGGTGGCACCTCTGAGCTGAATCTCTGGTCCTTTATGTTTCTAATTTTATTGATTTTTGTTTTTATTTCCTTCCTAATGTTTGTTTTGGGCTTATTTTTTCTTTGTTTTAGTTCCTTACGGTAGGAGTTTTTGAATTGAGGTCTTCCTGTAAACATTTAATGTTATGAATTGATTCCAGTGTCCTTTAGTTTTGTACTATAAATTTTGACCTGTTGCATTTTCATTTTCATTGTTTAATATGATTTTTTTTTTTTCCTCTCCTGAGGCAGGGTCTTGCTATGTAGTTCATGCTGGCCTTGAACTCACTCTGTAGCTCAGTCTGCTCTTGAACTTCTGGAGATCTTCCTGCCTCAGCCTCCCAAGTGCTGAGATTACAGGTGTGTGCCACTACAATGGGCTAACGTGACCTTTGTATTTCCCTGGAGACAGCCTCTCTGACCTATGAATTGTTGGGAATTATGCTGTTTACTGTTCATTCATTTGGAGATTTTAAAGAAGTTTTTGTTACTGATTTTTAGATTGCTTCTGTTGTGGCCAGTGGTCACACCTGTGTTGTATTTTAATTCTTTGGGGATTTACTGAGGTTTCTTTTATGACCTCGGGTATGATCTTTGTCCTAGTCACTTTCCTTGTCACTGAGACCCATAATTTGAAGAAGTTTCGTTTTGGTTTAGAGGATTCATTCCATAGTCTGCTGGTTCCAGGTCAGGAAGAACATGGTAGAGGGTCTGGCAGAGGAGAGATGCTCACATCATGGTGGCCAGGACGTGGAGAGTGCAGAGAGGATCTGGGGAGGGAGATGCGCCTTTCCAGGTCAGCACCCAGTGACCTGCCTAGTCTGACCAGACTCCACCTTCTCACAGGATGAATCCACTGGTAAGCATAGTGCCCCCTCATCCAACTACCTTCCAAAAGCCCAGCCTCTGAACACAGGAGCCTTCAGGGCACATCTTAGATGTAAACCTCCACAGCCTCTGTGGCAAATGCTTCTATAGGCAATCAAAAAGAATGTATATTTTTGGGCCAGGGATTTAGCTCAGTGGTTCTGGCACCTGCTTTGCAAGTGCAAGGACCTAAGTTCAATCTCCAGTACAAAAAAAAAAAAGAATGAGTATTTTGCTGTTGTTGAGTGTTGTATAAGTATCATTTAGGTCCTGCTGTTTGATAGTATTCAGGTCATCTATATCCTTGCTGATTGTAGTGAATTCCATCTGTTGAGAGAATGGTGTTAAAAATCTCCAGCTGTAATTATAGATTCCTCTAGTCCTCTTTTCAGTTCTATCAATTTTGCTTCATTTATTTTGGAGCTCTGTTGTTTGTTGCATATAAATTTAGAGATGCTATGCCTTCTTGGTGGGCTGATCAGTAGGTAATGTCCCTTTGCATCCTTAGTGGTTTTCTTTGCTGGGAAATCTACTTCATTTGATATTAATGTAGCTACTTGTTTCCTTTTGATTAATATTTATATAATGTATCTTTCTGCATCCTTTTACTTTCAAACTACATATATCTTTATATTTGAGGTGATTTTTTTTGTATACAGCATATAGTTAGGTCATATTTTAAAATCCATAAAGCTTTGTCCATTTGTATTTTATTTATATTATTTATTTTCATGTATACCTGATAAGATAGGGCTCAAGTATGACATTTTAAAATTTGTTTTCTCTCTCTAATTTCTGTTTTTTCTCTCTCTTTAATATCTGTTTATGCTTTTCTAGGAGTTGCTTCACCATTTTTTATATAGTAATTACATTTTGATTTGTTGATACTGCTTTTTTTCTTTTCTTTTTTTTTGGTACTGGGGATCGAACTAAGGTCCTTCTGCTTGCGAGGCAGGCAGCAGAGCCACTGAGCTAAATCCCCAGCTTGATACTGCTTTTGAGTGCATCTATTTGTACAGTTTTTTAGTGTTTGTTCTAGGTGTCATATTGTACATACATACCTTATTGCAATAGTCTTATTGACATTGTTTTACCATGTTGTTTCCCTCCCATGTAGATAGGTCTCTCTCACCCCTCCAATCTGAAATTGTCTTAAAATATTTCCTTTGCATACAGTGAGAAATGCATCAATATTATGCTTAACTCTTCCCCTTCCCCAGCTTTCCTTTGCTTCCTGAGGATTGAACCCAGGGCCTTCACACTGACCTACATCCCCAGATCTTTTTAAATTTTTTTTGGGGGGGTGCCAGGATCAAACTTGGGTCCTTGTGCTTGCGAGGCAGGAGCTGGAAGCACTGAGCTAAATCCCTGGCCCTCTTTTTTTTTTTCTTTTTTTGAGACAGGGTCTTACTATGTAGCAGAGACTGACCTGGAACTCACTATGTAGCCCAGGCTGGTCTTGAACTCACAGCAATCCACCTGCCTCAGCCTCCCGAGTGCTGGGATTACAGGCTTGTGCCACCACACCTGGCCCTGGCCCTCTTTTTTGTATTTTTTTTGTCTCAAGACAGGGACTCCCTAAGTTGCTAAGTTGCCCAAGCTGGGTTCAAATTTGTGATCTTCCTGCTTCAGCCTCCCAGAGAACACCATCATGCCTGTCTTTCCTTTAGAAAATTCTAGTGTGGCAATTAATTTCACTGGGTTTATATGTTCCCAAATATTCTATTTTTATGTTAATGACACCAAAAAGGAACTTTTTTTTTTTTGGTACCAGGGATAGAACTCTGGGACCTTGAGCTTGAGAGGTAGGCGGTAGAACCACTGGGCTAAATATCCGGCCCATTAAGGAGCATTTACATGGCAAAGAAAAGATGAATAAAAAGGCATGATTCAAGAGGCCAGTTCTCCTAATACTTTCATACACTGGAAACTATTGTCCTAATGAGGCCTTTGAATACTATTAGAATAGCCATTTTTATGATAAACCTAAAATTCCATAATCAATGGAATTATTCTAAATGCTTGGTTATCAAATGAGAGAGAGGAGCATTTCCGTTTTCTCTAAAAAGCTTATTTTAAAAAGAAACCTGCATCTCACACATAATTTCCCCACAATTCTTCTGAATTCAAAAAGGAAAGCACAATTGCTAACATTATGCCTTTTAAAAATATTTTGTCATAGGGCTATTTTTAGAGTGGAGAGAATGACAGAACATTGTTTTCTTTGTGTAGACGTTGCAGCACGCTGAGGTCTGTGCAACCTCCAGTCTTCAGATATAGGAAGCATTTATTACAACTGGCATTTGTTTGATGCTGATTTCTGGATATGCCTAATTATTAAGAGATAAATATGGCTTTTTTACAAGATGGTTCCGGAATGCACTGTAGAGAAAAAGGATGACTCAAAGAAGTATACTGGATACTGTGGGAATGTTATCTATATTAAGGAGCTTTTGTGCATTCCATGATGTCACAGTAACATATTTTGTGATTATGTTACGTTATTTTCCTCTCATCCTTTTTCATTTTATCTAATATCTTATCCATGAAGACAACTGGCCACATTAAGACTACAAAAAGGTATTTTTCCATCCTGAGTGAACTTCACCAGCTCCCACTTATCTTTTATCCTACCGCTGAGCATTTTGAAAAAGAACCATAATGAAGGAACTAATTTTATCAGATATTAAAGCAAATTAAAAGTAAAATAATTAAAATAATTAGATATGGGAGAAGGTCCAGACAGACAGTAATTCAACAAAGAGATCCAATTTAAATAGGAACTTAATAATACAGGTAGCATTTCAAAATGCCTGGGACAGAGTTACTATATAGTATTAGGACAATTAGTTAATCATGGGAGGGAGGAGGAAAACTGGCTCTTCTTCCATTTGGATCCAAGACTTAAATATTAAAAATCATAAAAATACTCTTAAAAAGGGCTAACATGCTGGAAGTGGTGGTGCACAAATGTAGTTCCAGCTACTCGGGAGGTTGAGGCAGGAGGATCACTCAAGCCCAGGGGTTTGAGACCTGAGAAACAGCGAGATCCCACATCCAAACAAAGACCAAAACCAAAAACCAAACCAAAACAAAACCTTAACATTTTAATAATTCTGAATTGTCCAAAGAAATTTTGGAGAGTATTTGTACAGTTCAACACAAGAAAATAAAACACAGGAAAGGATGCCTAATCTTAGTCAATTATTTTTCACCCAAGTGCAGACCAGAGAAACAGAAGCTCCAACGTGAGTGGTTTAGGCACCTTCCTGTGCTTCCTGTGCCATCCCTTGCACGTGGTCTCCTCCACCCAGCCACGGCAGGGCCACTTTGCCTTCAGACATTGCCCTGGATCCCGGATCCAGAAGGGGCAGGGAAGAGGTAGGAGGGAGGGAGGAGACGCAGGAGGGAGGGAGGAGACGCAAGGGTCCTGTGGCAGGGCCTGCTTCTGATAATAAACAGTCTGAGAAGCCCAAGTCTGCTTTTATCTCATTTGCCAGAACTGTTCCTTGGCTGCTTGGGAGTGAGGAAGTGAAGGCTGTTTTTTAACTTTCCATTGTATAAAAAGTGCACAAATCAAAAATATATAATGTGATGGATTGCACATGGTGAACATGCCCACACAGGCAGTATCCAGACGGAGAAATAGGATTAACCTCCCAGCAACTCCCTCCTTGCCCCTTCCCCTCACTATAGGTCTTTTTAATAGGTCACTGGTGACCAAAGTTGAGTTCATTAAGGGAAAGAGAAGGCACTAGCAATTTGTCCACAATCATTATTTTATATATCTGACCAGAGGCACTCTTATCTTTTACCATTTTCCCCAAATCTTTCATCCTCAGTCTAAGACATTTTCTTTTTCCTTCTTAAAATTTTTATTCTTTTGAGACAGGGTCTTGCTATGCAATTCAGTTTGGCTGTGAACTATGTAGCCCAGGCTGGCCTTGAACTTGCCATCCTCCTGCCTCAGCCTCTCAAGTGCTGGGATTACAGGTGTGCACCACCACCCATTGCTAAGACATTTTCATGTCCTTCACAAAAGAACGATTGATACTTACACATTGTCTGCAATGAGGTGGTCCTCATGGGGTGCTGTCCAGGGCCCCGAGTTTGGAGGTCTGTGAATACAGAAACATCTTAGAATATCGTTTCAGGGCCTCCATTCCAAGAGAGTGGTAAATATGGGGAAAATTTGCAATTCAACTTACATTTTTAAGAAGTAAGATAACTCCCAAATCAGATATGTGTGGCCAAGTCTTGGACCAAGAGTCAGACTTTATTCAGCATTATAGCATGCATCTGATATTGGACTGTTTTCCTTGAGAGAATCCCTGCCGATGTGGGAGACTTCGGCATTCCCACAGGACACCAGCTGCTTCCCATGCAACAGAAACCATCAATGCGATGATGTGAGAGGGTGCTCAAGAAAGCAAGGGTATGCACCGTCAGAGAATTCACACTGGAGACAAGGTGTATGCATGTTGAAAGGGGGGTTCACGTGTCTTTTCGGGTGTCCCTTCTCAATTAGGCCACTCACGCACCAAGAGGTCCGGCAGGAGATCTTTATTGTAGGGAGGCGAGCAGGAGGCAGGAAGGCAGAGAGAGAGAGAGAGAGAGAGAGAGAGAGAGAGAG